ACTATTCCCAGCCAAGAATTTTTGCTTTTCAGCATAGTTTTAAGCAGCCGTACTGTCTTTGGTCCCCGCAGTTTAGTTACTAGCGAACACGTTCCTTTCGTATCGAACTTCCAGGATTCGACCCCACCAGTGGCGCATTCAGTCTTTCTGCGTTTCGTTTCGATAGTAAACTGATACTGGCAAGTGCCAGAGGCTAAGCCCGCCGTCGGCCTGCTTGTGAGCAGTCCTCGAAAAAGCAAACCGTCGACAGTCTTGTTAGCATTAATTGTTGTTGACATATTCTACTACTCAGACCATTTCCCGATTTGTTCCACCTTTCACAGAAGACGAATACGGGGAGGATTTTAACTTTTGATACATTTTAGCTGTTCCAGTCGAGAGAAGAAATTTGTACACCTCACTGGCAGGCTGTTGCACCGTTCTGGTTAACTTTTTGCACTCTCGCTTTTCCACATGGATGATTTCGGCTGATGGTGCATCGTACATAATTCCTCCGAACGGCGTGACCCCGTGCATTGTCCCTCAGTTTCTCTCTTTTCAATGCTAAAGCTATGAGATTTTTCCACAAATTCACTTGCGCAGTAGCCATACAGTTGCTGAGTTCCGGTTCCTGGATCTTTGAATTTGCCACTCGTTTCGTATCCTTTTCCCTCATTTAGTTTCAAGATGAGAAAGCGTTATCTGTTATTTGTTGTGGCAACGGTGACCAGTGGCGACACGATACGATTAACATTGATTAATGCCTCAGTGGATGTTTCACCTGTTCCGACCTCTTTACCTCCCCTTCCCCGTCCGTCCCGCTTCACTGGTTCTCACCTCTGCCCCTCCTCTGGAGGGGACAGTCCTTTCGTGCACAATATTTGTATGACAGTTCAAGGTCATCCGATCGTTACTCATTCGCTTTTCAACTTCCCTTCCGCGGCACCCTCTCTATGGAGTGTTTTTTACACCTTTTGATTCATTTTTTGCTGCGGAACGCAACTTTTCGATTGTTGTGGCTATGTCTGCGAGTTTGAAATCGAATCTAGTAGTCATCGAACATGGCTCGAATCTGTTAGGTTAACGAGAAAGGTACAGTCCACGCGCGTTGTGGTCAGATCGGGTGTGGTTCCGCGTAGAGTAACTGGGTCGATAGTCAAAATGTGGTTACCAACTTCTCGAGGACGTTCACAGAACGCATTGACCGTGTCTGCAAAGGCCCAGATTGAAGTTATCGGTCAAAAATGCAAAAGTATGGCTCAGATACAGTGACCAGTTCTTCGAAAGCTTGGTTCAAATATTTGCTTACCGAATCTGTCGGAACATAATTGAAACGCAGTGGCCAAGTCTTCAGTAACTCCGAGTTTAATTCCGCAAATAACTCTTCGCATTTTCTTGCTCGCAAAATCACTTAAGCTATGCTTCTTATCTGCACAACTCGCTCCCAACCCAAACGGGGTCCAGATCATTCGCACCGGGGGACGAATTTATGCATGAGTATACAATGAAACCTTGGATTGAGTATCTGCATTTTAGCACATCCTAGCGATAGTAGGACTTATGGAGAAATAATTGTACCGGGATGTGCGGGGATAAACATTGCAATTGATGGATTTTTTTGGGTAATCCACATGGGCTCTCAGCCTACTTGTAGATACATGTAGAGGGTACGAAACTGCATGGTATAGTTGTGGTGAAGTTCGAATCCACAAAGTGTGTTGTGGAACCTTCGTCTTCCTCCACATTTGGCCCCGCGTTTACATATCTCCCTCCCCTTTCACGCCCCCTTTTTTCCGAGCTTTTTTTTTTGGTTCTTCTCTTTCCAGGAAATTTTTGCTTTTTTCGCAGAACTTTTATGGCCGACGAAATGTCTGCTTTGAATGGATTAGCAGCCTTTGCGCAGGAGATCTCGTATAGGGCCCGATTTTGTTGCTCGAATCCGACTGGGAATATCCGGAGAACTTACCTTCGCAATCAGCAAACACACCGGGCTGCCTGGGAAGTGAGGACTTGTGAAATGTTTGGTGCGGCTGTGAGGCTGTGCTCTGTGAGTACACCTTAAACGTGGCTCGCGTTGTGGAATCATTCTCGAGGGCAGTGCTAGCCTAAGGGATAATTTATTTGTGCATCTGAAGTTGCTGCTGAATCTCTGGTGTGCACATATACAAATGTGAGGGGTTGAGTGAGAACTGCAAAAATGGGATAGGTCGGATTAAATTTCAGTGCAAAGAAGTAGGCGTTAGCTGAGAAGGCGCAAAATGACTGGAAAAC